GTAGTTTGGACCTGTACTTAATGCAGTTTAGAAGAATGAAACATAAGATTCTTAAGGGGCATAAGAGGGGAGATAGTTGTCTCCCTTTGTGGGAGAGTCTAAGACCGGAGGGCATAATCTCTGAAGGTAGTCAATCTGTGGAATTCATTAGAGTAACAGAGTTTTTTGGGGGTTTGGTTAGCTCAGTTGGCTAGTTTGCATTGCAGAGAGATATCAACAGCACAGATTCGATTTCTATTGAGGTTACCATAAAGGTCCTGCCTTTTCAACCTCACTTGTTGCAAGAGGTGTGGTGACTCTCAGTTTAACCTCGCTCCCATAGAGTCATTGAGTTGTACAGCACAGAAACAGACCCTTCAGTCCACCTCGTCCATGCCAACCAGATATCCTCAACCATTGTCCCATATTCCTCTTAAACCCCTCCTATGCATGTACCCATTCAGATGGCTTTTTAATGTTGTAATTGTACCCACCTCCACCACATCCTGTGGCAGCTTGTTCCATGCATGCACCACCCTCTGCATGAAAAGTTGCCCTTCAGGTCCCTTTTAAATCTTGCCCCTCTCACCTTAAACCTACACCCTCTAGTTTTGGAATCCCCCACCTTAGGGGATGTCCCTTATGATTTTATAAACCTCTGGTCACCTGTCAGCCTCTGATGCTCCAAGAGAAAAAGTCCCAGCCTATTCAGCTTCTCCCTATAGCTCAAATCCTCCAATCTTGGCAATATCCTTGTAAATCTTTTCTAAACCCTTTCAAGTTGCACAACATCATTCCTATTGCACGAGAGCAGAATGGAACGCAGTATTCCAAAAGTGGCCTAGCCAATGTCCTGTGTAACGGCAACATGATCTTCCAACTCCTATACTTAGTTTATTGACCGATGAAGGCAAGCATACCAAATGCCTTCTTCACCACCCTGTCCACCTATCATTCTGCTTTCAAGGACCTATAAACCCGCATCCCTAAGTCTCTTTGTTTGGCAACACTCCCCAGGACCCTACCATTAATTGTATAAGTCCTGCCCTTGTTTGTTTTACCAAAATGCAACACCTCAACATTTATCTAAGTTAAACTCCATTTGATACTTGTCAGCCTATTGGTTATCCTCCGAGATAACCACCTTCACTGTCCACCACACCACTAATGCTGGTGTCACCTGCAAACTTACTAACCATACCTCCTATATTCGGATTCAAATCATTTATACCAGTTCCCTTGCTATTGAGAGTGCAACTCTATAATCCTGTGCAACCATGGCGATTTTTACCTCGAGTTGTTACAGCACTGAAAGAGGCCCTTTGCACCATCATATCCGCACCAGTCATCAAGCATTCATCTCTTCTAATGCCATTTTCCAGCTCCTGGCCCATAACCTTGTATGCAGTGGCATTTCAAGTGCTCAACTAAGTACCTTAGATTTTCATGCAGAGGGCTGAAGAGTCTGGGCCATTAGTATGTTCAACGCCGAAATAGATATTTAATCAATAAGGGAATGAAGAGTTGTGGGGATTAGGCAGAAAAGTGGAGTTGAGGCTTATCAGGTCAGCGACATATTCTCATTGAATGGCACAGCAGGCTCGTGATCTGAATGCCTTACTCTGCTCCTACATCTTATGGTATTATGGCAACCTGTGGTTTGTAATGCATTTAATTACTAGTACACTGAAATATCTCAAATAATGGTGCAGTCCTGTTATTACTTCATTTATTTTTTAATGATTATCTATAACTTTTATGAATTATGATTACTTGTTTAATTTATATTATCATCACAATTTGACACCTACCATGATTTTTAGTAAACCAATTACCAGTCTGTCTACTTAAAATCCTACTACTCAGGTCAAACCTCAATTTCATCTGCAATAAACTTTAAAACAAACAGCAGTTTCAAATTTCGTATTGCGTAGCAATCCCTCCAAATGCGAAATGGAGTTTTAAATTTCCTTTTCTCGGGCGTGAATGACTAAAATGTTTATCTTCATATCACTTGCACAGTTGAAGTTATGCAATCTAATAGAGTCACACAACATGGAAGTAGACTCATTGGTCCAACTATTCCATACTATCCATGTTCCCAAACTAAGTTAGTCCTACCTGCCCATGCAAACCTTTCCTATTCATGCACTTATCCAAATGACTTTTAAATATTGTAACTCTACCTGTATCCACCATTTCGTCTGGCAGTTCATTCCAAGCACTAACCACTCTGTGTTTAAAACAAAACTGCCCCTCATGTCCTTTTTAAATCTTTAACACCTCACCTTAAAAATATGACCCCTAAGTTTGAACTCCCCCACCCCAGGGAAAATACCTTTGCTATTCACTTCATCTATGCCCCTCATTATTTTATAAACCGCTATGATGTCACACCTCAACCTGCTATGTGCCAATGAAAAAGTCCCAGCCTATTTTTATAGCTCAAACCTACCATGCCAGGCAGCATCCTGGAAAGTCTTTTTTTGAACCCTCTCCAGTTTAATAGTATCCTTCCTATAGCAGGGCCACCAGAACTGCACACAGTACTCCAGAAGAGGCCTCACCAACATCCTGTACAACCTCAATATGACATCCCAACTCCTATACTCAAAGGCCTGAGCAATGAAGGCAAGCATGCTAAATGTCTTCTTAACCACTCTGTCTACCTGTGATGCAAATTTCAAAGAATTATGTGCCTGAACCCTTAGGTGTCTCTGTTCTGCAGCACTACCCAGGGCCCTACTGTTAATTGTATAAATCCTGCCCTTATTTGTTCTCCCAAAATGCAAATCTTGTGTAGGTAAGTCTCCTCATTGCTTGGCAAGGTGTGTTGTGTACAGACTGTGGGTCTTTGTAGTGTTTGTAGTGTGTGGGGAAAATTAGAGGTGTTGGTTTAATATGCTGAACTTGTTTTTCAATCAGAACTTGTATTCAAGATCTGCTCCAGAAATTTGTAGCTAATAGAGGCAAACATTCCAATGCTGCGTCCAGGAAGTGCTGCACTGCTATCACAGACACTGTCTTTCAGATGAGATGCACTGCCTGGTCATTTGAATTGTTTGCAGGAAATACCACAGCTCTCTTCTTCCAAGAGCCAAGAGTTCTGCATACCCCCTCTCCCTTAATCAACACCAAGGAGAGATTAACTGGTAATTATTGTACTAATTGTCACTGGCACCAGCCCTGTGCCTGCCTGGCAATTACCTAAGGTCAAACCAGACCTACATGTCATATTTGACCTAAGGGGCCAATTAAGAGCACGCCCATTTAAGAGTTAGTCAAGAAGAGATTTTTCCTGCAGAGGGTCATTGGTTTCCAGAATACACTTTCTCAAAAGTTGGGGGAGCAGAGTCCTTGAATGTGCTGAAGATGGAGGTGGGTAGATTCTTGGTAAGAAAGGGGTGAATATTTATCTGGAGGCAGGGATAAGGCAGAAATGCGGAGTAGTGTGATCAGCCATGATCCTCTTGAGACCTGCACTTCCATTCAGTATGGGGGTGATTTGGCCTTTTCCTGCTCCTGCCCCATGTTTGTATGTGCTAATCATCGACCCGTAGGGAAAACAAATGTGTCAGCAGCAACCTTTCCATCAATACTGTCTCTCACCTGTCACAAATATCAAATGGCAGCACAACATCACTAACAATGATATCTGCACTGGAGCCACACTGCTCAGCTTTAATTCAGATAAATGCAAGGTATTGCGTTTCACTAAGACGAACCAGGCCAGGACTTGCACAGTTATTGGTTGGGCTTGAGGAGTGTTGAACAGAGATCTAGGGGTGCAGGTACATAGTTCCTTGAAAGTGGCATCACCTGGAGAAGGTGTTTGGCATGCTTGCCTTCATGGGTCAGAGCATTGAGTCCAGGAGTTGAGGCGCCATGTTACAGCTGTAGAAGACACTGGTAAGGCCGCATCTGGAGTACTGTGTACAGTTTTGTGCCCTGCTGTAGGAAGGCTGTTATTACACTGGAAAGAGTGCAACAAAGGTTTACAAAGATGTTACTGAGACTGGAAGGTTTGAGCTACAAGGAGAGGCTGGGACTTCTTTCACTGGAGAGTTGGAGGTTGAAGGGTGACCTTTATAGAGGTTTAGAAAATCATGAGTGGCATGGGCAAGGTGAATGGCCAAGGTCTTTTCACCAGGGTAGAGGAGGCCAAAACTAGAGGGCATACGTTTAAGGTGAGAGGGGCAACATTTTCATACAGAGAGTGGCGAATATATGGAACAGTCTGCTAAAGGAAGGGGTAAAGATGAGTACAGTTACAGCATTTCAGAGATATTTGGGGAGATTCATGGAAAAGAAAGGTTTAGAGGGATGTAGGCCAATCATAGGCAAATGGAACTGGTTCAGTTGAGGAAACCTGATCGGCGTGGATAAGTTGGACCAAAGAACCGGTTTCCATGCTTTATGACTGGCTTCACAAGTTGGTTGCAGGTGTAGCAAGTAATTAAGACGACAAACAGCATGCTTTTGCTCTTCATTGCAAGAGGATTTGAGTGCTGGAGGAAATATGTCTACCTGTAATTGTATGACCTCTTGGTGAAACTGGAGTAAAGTGTACAGCTTGGGTTGCCTTATTCCAAGGAAAGATGTACTTTCTTTAGAGGAAATGCGAATCCTGGGATGGTGGGATTAAATTAGGCTTATTTTCTAGAGCTCAAAAGAGTAAGAGGTGATCTTGTTAAAACTTATAAAATTTTTACGGGATGTGGCAGAGGAATATAGATGGGAGGTTCCCCTTGGCTTGTGAGGCCAGAACCAGGGGACATAATCTCCGGATAAGGGACAGGCCAATATTCTGAGATGAGGAGGAATTTCTTCACTCAGACTGATGAATCTTTGGAATTTTCTACCCCAGAGGGCTGTAGAAACTCTATCATTGAGCATATTCAAGACAGAAATCGATTGATCTGCAAACGTGTGAATTACAATATGCATTTTCTTTAAAACAGAAACACACCGCAGTCACCACTGAGCTGGGTTTCTCAGTTTCCATCTGTCTTTCTCCACAGATCTGCAGAGCCTGGAGAAGCTTCTGCGGGATGCTGTGGTCAATGGGCAGCCCCGAACCCACAGACCCTGGAAGAAAATCCTCATTGTGGTGGAGGGAATTTACAGGTAAGGCATGTTGTTAATTTAGAACCTCACCCGAGGGGCTCGCTGCTCCCAACCAGAGCTGACGCTCTCCTCCAGTCCTGCCATACTTTCCCAATTCAGACGTGCCACCATTTGCTGTGCTTTCAGCAGCAATAAACTGTGGATTCCCCTATTAAACCTCTCAGCTTCTCTCTCCTCCTTTAAAGTCATACCTGACAAACCTCAGCTTTTGTTGATATGGACTAAGAGTCATACAGCATGGGAAACACCCTTCAGTCCAACTAATCCTTGCCGACTATGTTCCTAAACTAAACTAGTCTCACTTGCCTGTGAAGTCCTATGTAAGAGATTGTTGACTGATGTAGAAGCCCTCATAATTGAGGGCAAATTAAGGGCTGGGAAATGGGTTATGGCAGACAACAAAGTAGAGATTTAAAGAAAATCTCTGTGGGGTGTGACTAGTGGTGTCCCAAAAGGATCTGTGTTAGGACGTCAATTATTCACATTCATTATTAATGACTTGGATAATGGCATAGACAGTCAAAAATCCAAATTTGATGATGACACAACATTTGACAGGGTTGTAAACAGTATAGATGGCATAAAATTACAAAGGGATATTGATAGACAAAGTGAAAGGGCAAAACTATGGCTGGTGGAGTTCAGTGTAAGGAAATGTTATCTATTTTGGACTGAGAAAGGATAGATCAGGATACTTTCTGGATAGTATGAAGTTAAATGCAGCGGATGCCCAAAAAGACTTGGGGCATTCAGGTGCACAGACCTTTAAAATGTCACAAACAGGTGCAAAAAATAATTAAGAAAGCTATGGAATGTCGACCTTTATATCCAGACAATTGTTATATAAGGATGCGGAAGTTAGTACTGAGCGTGATCTGGGCACCACACCTTAAGAAGAATATATTGACCTTGAAGAGAGTACAACATAAGCTTACAGGAATGATACCTGGATTTCAAAGATTAAGTTATGAGGAGAGATTGTACAAATTAGGCCTGTTTTTACTAGCATTTAGAAGGTTAAAGGGTGATACGATTGAAGTTTTCAAGATAAACTATTTCCATTGGGAATTCTGGAATAAGGGGCATAACCGAAGAATTAGGGCAGACCATTCAAGGAGAGATGTTAGCAAGCAATTCACACAAAGTGTGGTAGATGTTTGGAACACTCTTCCACAAATGGCAGTGAATGCAGGATCAATTAATTTAAAGTCTGAGGTAGGTAATTTTTAAACAAAAATGTTAAGGGAAATGAGCCAAGGACAGGTATATGGAGCTAGGTCAAAGATCAGCCATTGTCTCATTGAATGGGGGAAACAAGCTTGAGGGGCTGAATGGTCTATTCGTGCTCTTAAGACCAAACTCTTCAACCTTGCCCTTTGTTTTCTGCCCTTGTATCTTTTTGTGACTGTGTCAAAAAATGGTTGTTTGACAAGTATCTTTGAATTTTGATTACATTAAAAGGCAATTATGTAAATGCAAACTGTTATTCAATATACTTGCCATATTGTTACATTCATCTTGCTGTACATCGATGCATGTTGCCTGCCTGTATCTTTCTTGGTTCAACACCAGCAAGCTAATGTGTAGTGTGCCACATTTAAGCTGCCTCCCTTTCACTAGAAATGCAGGTGACTCTCCTGTTTGTGGATGTGCCTTCTCTCCACAGTGACTCCAGTGTCTAATGCAGTATTGTAAAGAGACTGTTGTCCCTGGCAGTGCCTTCACAGTGACAGAGTAGCAATTGCTGTACCCGGTTACAATACTACCTTAATTGGAAGATAAAAGGGTCGTGTTGCTGCATCAGATGCTAAGCCGCACTGACTGCAGGGAAGAAAGCAGGTTTACACCCCCAGCTCTGTGGAGATGGCCAGGGGTATGTAACATGAGTGAAATCAGTAGGCTGTGGGTTCAAATTCCACTCTGGCAAATTGGGCATACAAAATCTGGGCCAGTGCTCCGAGTTCTCTGATGGCAGGAGTGCCATATTTTGGATAAGATGTTAGCCTGGGCCCCATCTGTTCCCTCAGTTAGATGTAAAAGAGCAGGGGGCGGGTGTCCTGATTACAATTTATCCCTCAAAGAAACAAGGACTGATTAGGGATAATCAGCCTGGTTTTGTGCAAGGTAAATCGTGCCTCACAAATTTGATTGAGTTTTTTTGAGGAAGTAACCAAAATGATTGATGAGGTAGAGGGTTAGATGTAGTTTACATGGTCTTTGGTAAAGCCTTTGACAAGGTTCCACATGGTAGACTAATTAGTAAAGTTAAATCACATGGAATTCAGGGTGAGCTTGCCACTTGGAAACAAAATTGTCTTAACAGTAGGAGACAGTAGTAGTGGCTTGTTTTTCAGACTGGAGGCCTGTGACCAGTGATGTTCCACAGGGATCAGTATTGGGTCCATTTTTGTCATTTATGTGAACAATTTGAATGAGAAGCTAGGAGGCATGGTTAGTAAGTTTGCGGATAACATCAAAATTGGTGATATAGTGAATGGTAAAGAAACTTATCTAAGATTACAAAGAGATCTTGATCAGTTGGGTCAATGGGCTGTGCAGTGGCAGATGGAGTTTAATTTGGATAAATGCAAGGTATTGCATTTTGGTAAAACAAACAAGGGCGGGTCTTATAATTCATGGTAGGGCTCTGGGTAGTGTTGTAGAACAGAAAGAGCTTGGGATTCAGGTACACATTTCTTTGAAATTTGTAGACAAGGTGGTTAGAAAGGCACTTAGCACGCTTGCCTTCATTGCTCAGTCCTTTGAGTTTAGGAGTTGGGATGCCATGTTGAGGTTGTACAGGATGTTGTTGAGGCCTCTTCTGGAGTACTGTGTGCAGTTCTGGTGGCCCTGCTATAGGAAGGATACTATTAAATTGGACAGGATTCAAAAAAGATTTACCAGGATGTTGCCGGGAATGGTGGGTTTGAGATATAAAAATAAGCTGGATGGGCTGGGACTCTTCATTGGAGCGTAGGAGGTTGAAAGTTGACCTTATAGAGGTTTATAAAATCATGCGGGGCATAGGTGAGTAGCAAAGATCGTTTCCTTAGGGTAGGGAGCTCAAAGCTAGGGGACATATTTTTAAGGTGAGAGGAGAAAGTTTTAAAAAGGACACGAGGGGCAACTTATTTAGAGTGGATAATGTGTGGAATAAACAGCCAGAGGAAATGGTGGATGCAGGTACGCTTACAACATTTAAAATAAATTGGATAAGTACATGAATAGGAAAGGTTTGGAGGGATATGAGCCAAACACAGGCAAGTGGGACTACTTTTAGTTTGGGAACATGGTCGAAGTGGGCCAGTTTTACCGAAGGGTCTGTTTCTATGCTGTATGACTCTATCACAAAAAAAGACTATTATTATCTGGTCATTGCTGCATTGCTTTAACAAAAACAGAAGACTTCAGATGCTGACAATTTGAAACAATAACAATGCTTGAGATATTCAGCAGGTCAGACAGCATCTGTCAGAGAGAACAACAGGTAATGTGTTCACCTGGAGACAGATAAGACAATTCAAACAGCGGGTCATCAACATGGAAATTACATCTGTTATATTTAAATGACTGATATTTATCTGTTGAATTAGGCAACAAAAGGCTTGCAGAGATTTACCAGCCTTTTGTTGTGAATCTATGGTTAAGCACAAACACCATTTTCAGTTTGCTGACAGCAAAATGAGGAAGAACCCAGCTTTTTAAAAATAACACATTGTCCTGGTGAACAGTGCTTGTAATGAGGAACTCATCTCTTGATTTTTTTTTTATATAAATCAACCTGTTCAGAGATGTTATTACACACCTCAGCAGGTGAGACTTTGACTTGGGTCTCCTGGCTCTGAGGTAGGGACATTACTACTACACCACGAGAACCTCAAATTTTCATTCTGGGGTTGCATTAGTTGTCAAGCATTAAAATGGGGTCACAGATAGAAAAGGTTTGAGAAGCTTTGGGCTGTCATGTTTCTCCATAATACCCTTCGGATATTTGATGGTTACAGTTTCACAAGGACAGAGCCACTATTCACTAGTGCAGAACGTAGCTGCCAGGCCACTTATGAGGTACCAAGTGGCGTGCTTGATGGTGAACCATAGAGTGTGGAAGGAGATGATTCAGCCAGCCAGCCCTGTGCAAGCTCTTTAGAAAAGTGTGTCCAATTAATGCCAGCTGCCTCGACCCTCCACTTTGTCCTGAGAGCGCATTTTACTTTTTCAAGTATGTTGCTCAATTGCAGTCTGCTGTTCACAATGTTTCAAGCCAGAGGTTTTCAAAGTGATCTTACTTCTCATGGTGCCGGGAGCTTTTCGAGCATGAAGCAACAATATGTTGTGTTACTAAGTGTGCTGCTTTTATTTCAGCATGGAAGGCTCGATGGTCCGTCTGCCAGAGATCGTAGCTTTGAAAAAGAAGTACAAAGCCTATCTGTACCTGGATGAAGCACATAGTATAGGAGCAGTGGGGGCAACAGGCCGAGGTGTGGTCGAATACTTCGCTGTTGACCCCACAGACATTGACGTGCTGATGGGCACCTTTACCAAAAGCTTTGGGGCAACTGGAGGATATGTCGCTGGCAAGAAGGTAGTGTTTGAAATCTTTCAATCTCTCTCTCTTGCCCCCTCTCCCTCAGATTTACTGCAGTGTCTTCCGGGCTCAGGGCCCTCAGTTATCTGATGAGACGATAGAAAGTGGGATTGTCTGAATAAAGATCCCTGATGGATTAGTTAGTGACTTGTACACTGCTGGCCTCTAGTTAATGGGAGATGTTGAATTTTCATAGACGAGAATCATTCTGAACATTTTATCTTAACTTGCTTCACCACTGTGTTGGGGAATCTCATCATCACCCCACATCATCCTGTATCCTATCTGGAATTTTGTAGGCTCTGAGCCAGGGAAAGACACAACAATTGTGTATAATGTCATGCAAGTGTCCAAGCTTTTGTTTCCCAAGCACTGCCTTTGTTGACTAAACACTTGGGCATAATGATACAGTTTGCATCAAAATGATGTTACAGAAACAACACAATGTATGAACTGTCTCGAGCCTATGACGTTCCTTTGTTTTAAGCAAAGCTGGGTAACTCTGGCTCTCCGTGCATAATCTCCTTAAGAAGGACATCAGTAAATTTCAAATTTCTCCATTTGAGGCATAACTTGGCTTTGGCACTAAAATAACTCCTCGATCAAACTGCACTTACTATACTTACCGTGCTATAGGCAGGATGTAAATGCACTGTAGAGGATGCAGAAGAGATTTACAAGAATTATTCCAGGGATGAGAAGCATCAGCATTGAGGATAGATTGGAGAAGTTGAAATTCTTTTCTTTAGAGAAGAGAGAGGCTATTAAGAGATTTGATTTTTTTTTTTAAAAATTCAATACCGTTGAGAGTTTAGACAGAGCAGAGGGAGAGAAACTGTCCCCACTCAAGAAAGGATTGCAAACCAGAGGGCAGTACAATGTTAAAATGATTTGCAAGAGAAGCAGTTGCGATGTGAGAGAAAATCAAGATTGTGAGCTTTGATGTGAAGGTGCCAGTGTTGGACTGGGATGGACAAGGTCAAAAATCACACGACACTAGGGTATAGTCCAACAGATTTATTTGAAAACACAAGCTTTCGGACTCTCGCTCATTCCTCAAGTGTTAGAGAGGTGACATCAGACACAGAATTTATAAGCAAAACATCTAAGGTCATTGAACTGATACGAATGTATTCAACAAACCTAAGTTGGATGTTAAATCATCAATCAGTTAAAAAGGAGATGCAGGCTTTGATTGATTTAATATGCAAATTCCAGAATTTCTTTCAAGTCACTGCTCCGAGATAACTAAAGGTTTTATCAGTATACCAGAGGTGACATCTCCAGTCAGACACTGCATTTTAGGTGTGAGGCCTTGTTTAGAATCTGACTATGTTTTAACTTGGAGTCAGACTGGTTTTATTTGCAAAGCAGAGGCTGATAACCAAGTTCGGTACCATGAGGACGGCTTCAACCGGGATCTTGGTTTCATGCTGCACCACACTATATGTGCACACATTCACATGCGCACTCTCACACATGAGCACTCACTCTACCTCCTTCATGCATGCACACACTCCTGTCCCCTGCCTCACGCACACTTCTGCCTCCCTCGCACACATGCGCATACACTCTCTTTCTGCCCCACTCTCACACGCACGCGCACATGTGCATCTATAGGGTGAATTTGCATTTGTAGATTTGTAATACGTTCTATTTTGTTCAAAAAGCACACAATTTGTAGACAGTCAATGTGGCATTTTATAAATTCCTACTTTGGAAATAAAACAAGTTTGACCCCAAGTTAAAACAGACACATTCTAAACAAGGCCTCACATCTAAAATGCAGTGTCTGACCTGAGATGTCACCTCTGGTATGCTGATAAAACCTTTAGTTATCTTGGGGCAGTGACTTGAAAGAAATTCTGGAATTTGCATATTAATCAATAGAAGCCTATATCTCCTTTCCAACTGACTAAAGATTTAACAGCCAACTTAGGTTTGTTCAATACATTCGCATCCATTCTATGACCCTTTGAATTTTGCTTATAAATTCTGTGTCTGATGCCACCTCTATCACTGACAGCTGAAGGAGTGAGACTCTGAAGATCATGAGCGACAGCGTCCCTTACAGGAACTCTGTGGTATTGTAGTATCTATGAATTTGAGTCTATCTGCTCTCTAGTGGTCAAATTTATGTAGTCTTTCTTTCCAGTACAGTACTAGGAGAGTTCTGAGTATTGGAGGTGACCTCTTTCACATGAGCTGTTAAACCAAAACTCTGTCTGCCTACTTGTGCAGATGTGAATGACCCCAATACACAATTCTGAACGGCAGTGCGAATGTCCACATCTTCCATTCCACTATCCCTGAATCAACACAAGAAATAGATTCTCATTCATTGTTACCTTGCTGTTTGTGGGAGCTTTCTGTGCTCAAGTCGCTGCTGCCATTCAACAGTGACCATGCTTTATTAAAAACTTATTTTGTTGTCTGTAAAGGGCTTTGAGCCATCTGGAGGTCATGAACCACGCAAACCCTCCTTTATTTTTAAGTGTTTATCCATGTGAAATGTGTATATAATCCTTCCCTATTGCAGTGCTGAAATCTGAACGTTGTTACCTCAATAAATCTGTAAATATACCTCTAATTTATCTCAAGCACTTGGATGTTTGTGAAAGTTGTGACTTACTTAAATGGGCTACATTTGGCTGGGGAAAGAGAAATTTATGAACAGTGTTCATGTTTGGTAATGCTGTTAGGCTGAGCTTCATGTACTCCGGATGTTAGCATTTGAACAATAAATAGCTTGGCCTTATCAAACCTGTTAGTCATGTTCTCTTATTTGAACCTTGCACAGGAGCTTGTGGATTATTTACGAGCATATTCTCATAGTGCTGTCTATGCTGCCTCAATGCCTCCGCCAATTGTGGAACAGATTATCAGATCACTAAAATGTATCATGGGACTTGATGGAACGACAATAGGTGAGAAAGGAATGGAATTTGATTTTTTTTTTAAATGCGTGATAACTGCATATCTTACAACTCCCTTTTCCTGTACCCTGTATGCATGCCGTTGAGTTACTATTGACGGTTCAAATGAGAAGTCCCAGTGTCAGTGAATTGCAGAATATTTTTTCCTCCTTTACCAACATGATAGTCAACTGAGGCTTAGGAGGGGTAGCATTATCACCACTGAAGGTTTGAGTTCAAGTCCCGCTCCAAGAATGGAGCACAATGATTAAGGCAGACATCCCTGTCAGTACTTGGGGAGCGCTGTATGGTCAGAGGTGCTGTATATCAGATGAGATGTTAAACCAAAGGACCAAAAGATAGTATGTCATTATTTCAAAGAAATAATATCCTGGGCCCTGGTCAATATTTAGCCTTCAGTTAACATTACAAAAGTGATGATTCTGATCTAATCTGATCATTATCAAATAGCTGAATGTAGGAGCTTGCTGCGTGTAAATTGGCTACTGTGCCTCCTACATCATAACAGTGACCACACTTGGAAAGGTACTTCATTGGCTGTGAACTGCTTTGAGACATCCTAAAGCCGTGAAAGTCACTATTCCTTTCTTTTATAAAATACAAATTGTGCACACATGGGTCTGTCACTGAGGAGTGCATCATTTGCTCTTTGCATCCTTCTGTTTCCCCGCAGGTATTGAGCGAGTGCGTCAGCTGAGAGAGAACGCCCGTTATTTCCGACGGCGGTTGCATGAGATGGGCTTCATCACTTATGGGAACGACGATTCTCCAGTGGTACCCTTGTTGTTGTACATGCCTGGCAAAGTAGGGTATGTTATCCTGGCCTGTTTTACAAGCTCATACCGCCTGCAGAAGATATCAAAGACATCTTTATTCCCTGGGTTAATGGCACTATATGAACTCAGATTGGTGTTCATTGTTTTATCCCATCCTCCTATACAGCCTCGTGCCATCATTGGTACCGAGTCACACTGTCCCATGTACTCGCTGGCCTATGCAGGCTCCTAGACTGTCAGCACTTGATTTTAAAATCATCATCCCTTTCTCTGGAATCCTCTCCAGCCCCACAACCATCTAAGATCTCTGCCTATCTCTAATTCCTGCCACCTTGAACATCCTCAATTTCTATCACTCCACCATTGGTAGTATGCCTTCAACTGCCCAGGTGCTCTAGGCTCTCCCTCTCAGACTTTCCAATCCTCCACCTCTCTATAAGATGCTCCTTAAAACCAAGCAGTTTAAACAAGCTGTCGCTCCTCTGTCCCAATATTGTCTTAGGACAGAGATGAAGAGAATTTTATTTTTGAGGTTTCTGCAACTTTGGAAATCTGCCTCAGAACGTGGTGGACACAGTTTCCAGCTCTGAAGCTCATGAGTCCGTGGAATTGTCTTACTCAAAAAGCACTATGGTAGATTGTTGAACGTATTCAAGGCTGAGTTAGACAAATTCTGTAAAACAAAGCTGCATGTGCTGAAGATCTGAAATAAAAAACAGGAATTGCTGAAGGGAATAATTCTGACCAAGGGTCACTTGACTTGAAACTTTAATTCAGTTTTACTCTCTACTGAAGCCACCAGACCTGCTGAGTTTTTCCAGCACACTGTTTTTGTTTTATTTTAAATTAACGATGGAGACGGGGGTCATTGAATATTTTTAAGGCAGAGATGAATAGATTCTTGTTAAGCAAGGGAGCCAGAGATGTTGGGGATGGATGTTAATGTGCAAATGGAGAAAACAAACACATCAGCATGATCTTATAAATGATGGAGCAGTCTGAAGGGGCCTTAATTTTACTCGTATTTCATATCTTCATATGTAGTTTGGTGTCATCTTTTATTGAGCACACTTTTCCATAAGAAAGGTGCTTTCCAGTGCAAGCTTTTGCTGTCACTATAGTATTGTTTCTCAAACAGCTGTGTGATAATGAGACACTCTTCTTTCAGTGCGTTTGCCAGGAGAATGCTGAAGAAGAACATTGGGGTAGTAGTAGTGGGATTTCCAGCCACTCCCATTGTGGAATCTCGGGCTCGCTTCTGCCTGTCTGCAGCCCACACACGCCAGATGCTGGACACGGTGAGTTTCTGCTGAGCATTTCCACCAACATTCAATTTTCATTTTTTTCAATTGGGTTGAATCTTTGTTCAAGCAACGCTTTTTCAGTTCACTTCTCAATAACATATCCATGGTGTTCACAGCTGGTGAAGAGCACGGAGTGTACAAAATAAGAAACACAGCTCTAAACATAGGGACTTGGGTGGACAGCTGCATTATGGGGGAGGCAGTGGTGTAGTGGTAATGTTACTGATCTAGTGTTCCAGGCATTTAGGCTTATGGTCTGGGGATGTGTGTTTGGACATGGTAGATGGTGGAATTTGAATTCAATAAATGCTAGCCCAGTGCTGACTGACTGTTGTAACTAGGCTAGGCCAGCAGTTCTTGCTCATCCCAGACCAATATTCATATAGAATCAGGCAGCAAAAATCTTTGAGATTTATAAGAGTTTTATTTAAAATCTACGTTTTAGCGCAAAGACCACATTCTACCTTTCCCTTCTGGATATTTTTGTTGTCCAGAAGCCAACACCTCTCTGGAAAGAATCCAGCTTTTTTTTCAACCTATTAGGATATGGAATGGGTCACACCTTTTGTGGTAGGTAGGACTTGAGACTGGACCACTGGCCCAGAGATAGGAACACATGCAGTACTCCATATGAACCCCAAAAGCTTTTTGTTTTAATAATCCACCAACTGTTCAACCAATTACCTCATTATCAATTAACAAAGAAACAAACACTCCCCAGAAAACGCAGCGTGGCAATAAAAAACAAATCAAAAAGATGGGATACAGGAGGGAACGAAATCAAACTGGTGTTGATGGGGGGAAATCACTCACCCCAGCCCCTACCATGCCATCTCTCAAAGCCTTGAGGGTCCTGGTTGACATACCGTGCTCCCTCTCCAGAGAGACCCAGGCATGGATGTGAATGGCATAGATACCAACCCCTTCTTTCCCCTTTCTTTGTTCCTTTATTTTCTATTTTTATTGAAGACCCACCATTGATTCACCCATTGAATTAACAAATGTAGTAACTGCTAACAAATTCGACCAACTAGAGACAATGATGCAAGAAAAATCAAAAGCGTGGAGGAAAACAAGTGAAGGACTAAGTGAAAGCAGTGCTGGTGGGGGAGATAATACACACCAGACCCCACAATGCTCCCTTCCAGTGAAGTGCCTTCGGCAGGTTTCAAGTTACAGGGACTGTATGCAACTTCTTCATGAAGGCAGCGGCTGGGCATTTTTCATGGCTGGGTGGTCTTTTTGCAACTGGAATTGTGTGAATTCCCAAGCTCCAAAAAGTTTCATTCGTACATTAATGAGGTGCTTGATGGTTCTCTTTGGCTGTTTGTCTGGGATCAACTTCAAGCATTCTGATGCAAGCCACTAGAGGGCAGTTTGGTGACAGTTCAGATCCTGAAACAGACCAGCTCTTTCTGCTTTTAACGTTGTGGCTCCAGAAGACTAGAGTCAGGAGGAGGACAGTCAGTCCTTCAGTATTCAATGAAATCATACTTGATCTGTATCAAAATTATATTAACTGACCTTGGCTCCACAACTTCTGTATCTCTAATCTCCTCAAGCCCTATAACCCACTGAGATAACTGCACTCCACAGATTCCTAAGTATCCCTGATCTTAATTATTCCACTGTTGTTTGCCATGCCTTTGACCGGTTGCACCTCACCCCCTCTCAAAATCTGCTCCCTTTTCCTGTTTAAGATGCTCCTTAAAATCATACTCTGCCTTGATATCTCCCTGACTTGGCTCAGTGTCAAATTATGTTTTGTTAATACTCACTTGAGGCTTTTTAATTACTTGAAGTGTACTGTCCAAATGCAAGTTATTGTTGTTGTTACACCTTTGCCAAGCAAAAGACGTCAGTTTAGGTGTCAAAGTTATTAGTTGATCTCCAGCGTCAATAGCTCTTAATGGGCAGTGAGTTTCACATTTGGATGGGCATCCCTTCCCAACTGAGTCTTTTCATTTCCATTTACTGTCTGACTTCACTGTGACCTTGTGGATACACCAGTTGTTTCTCAGTTATTAAAAACAGACATCCTAGCTGCCTCAGACTAGACCAGAATCTGCCCAGGCAAAGCCACCTTTGAGGATGGTATGAAAGCCCTTGAGATGATGTAGAGCAGGTTTACCAAATGGTTGCCAGGTCAAAAACGTAGAAACCAGGAGCAAGAGTAGGGCATTCAGCCCTTCGAGCCTGCTCTGACATTCCATATGATCATGGCTGATCGTCTATCTCAATGCCATATTTCCACTTCTTTCCAATATCCCTTGATGTCTTTAAAATCTAAAAGGTTATCTATCTTTTTCTTCAAGCCTCCACAACCTTCTGTGATAGAGAATTCCATAGGATTCTAACCTGAGTGTGAAGAAATCTTTCCTCAACTCAGTCTTAAATGCTCTACCATGTATCCTAAGGGTCTGCCCCTCATTCTAAACACATCAACCAGGGAAAATATCCTCCCTGCAACTAGTTTGCCCAGCCCTGTTAGAATTTTACACATTTTAGATCCTTCTAAACTGCTGTGAATACAGGCCCAATAAAGTCAATATCTCCTTGTAGGACAGTCCTGCCATCCTCAATTGAGGGAATTTCACAAGGAGGTTAGATTGTAAAAGGCTGTTCTCACTGGAGCAGAGGAGTCTGATGGGAGCTTTGCGAGAAGCATCCAGCGTAGATAAAGAAAAGCTGTTCTCGTTGGCTGATTGTCTGAGAGAGCGGGGGCATGGTTTAAAGATTTAGGAGGTGTGATACAGAGAATGTGAGGAAGAGGTTTTTTAATCTTATTATAATAACCTGGATGTTGCTGCCCACAAGATTGGTAGAAGAGGAGATGATCAAAGATTTTTGAAAAAGGAAATGGACGGGCACTTGAGGGAAATGAAATTGCAGAGTTACAAGGAGAGTGTAGGGGAGTGGGTCTTTCAGGGTTGCTCTCCAGAGAGCCAGCATGGATTTAATGGGTTAAAGGTTCTGCATCTGCTCTTTAATAACTCTATATAATGTGATTGATTTGGGTCCAGGGAACTGATGGGCAATCTTGACTGGTTGAAGTGTCAGTCAGGCACATAACTGGCCAGTATCCATCCTTCCCCAAAGTTCAGGCTGAGTTTGACATAACTGAGTCAACCATATCAGTTTATCTTATTCTTGAATGGGATGTGGGCATCACTGGCTGGGCCAGCATTCGTTACCCATCCGTAATTGCCCTGGAGAAGGTGGTGCTGAGCTGCTGCTTTGAGCAATTGCAGTCCATACAGTGCAGGGCTATTACAAAGGAGTTCCAGGATTCTGACCCAGCATCAATGAAGGAACGGCCGATATCATTCCAAGTCAGGATGGTATATGACTTGGATGGTGTACTTGCAGCTGATGTGTTCCCCATACATCACCTGCTGCCCTTGTCCTCCCTTAGGAGCAGAGGTCGTGGGTTTGGAAAGTGCTGTCCAAGGATGCTTGCTGACTTGCTAGCACTGTTAGCTCTCAGCCACAAAGCTATGGGTCCAAATCCCACTCCAGGGCTTAGGCACAATGATAAAGACAGATACTCCTGGTGCAGCATTGTCGGAGGTACTGCCTTTCAATGAGGCATTAAACCAAAATCTCCTATGTCCCCTCAGGTAAACTCCTATGACACTATTTAAAGAAGGGAAGAGTATTCACCCTGATGTCCCAGCCAGTACTAATCCATTAATCAATATCACAAAAACAGATGATTTGCCCTTTATCACATTGGTTGTGGGATCTTGCTGTGCTCAAATTGGCTGTGGTATTTCCTGCTTTTATAATAGTGACTACACTTCAAAGGTACTTCATTGGCTGTCATGCTCCCTGATAGTTCTGGTTGTGAAGATGCTATATAAGCACAGTTTTTTAATAAATATTAAACCATTGCAGGTGCTGAATGTCCTGGATGAAATGGGTGATTACCTACAAGTCAAGTACTCCAGGCAGTCTCCTTCTGTTCGTCCTGAGCTCTACAACGAGTCAGACTTTGAATTGGAAGACTGAACTACCTCTGCAGTGTGAGCATAAGCGTTTACACCACATGTGCCCCTCTACCACTCCCCATTGACGGAAACAGCATACGTTTGCATGCGCCTCTTCCTCTTTAATGTGCGTGAATCGGGGGTGGGTGGGGGAATAAGGGCAGCAGCGAGAGGCTGCAGCAAGGCGATGAACCTATCCGAGCGTGTAGAGAGCGAGCCAACAAGCAACCCCTAGGGCACAGTTATTCACCAGTAACACACCGCTGATGGCCTCAGACAGATGCTCCTCTGTAATGTGCCCAGTACTGTGGGAGAAGTGAGAGACCAGAGAGAAAGAAATCAAAGAGTTTGGTTCACAAGTCCTGCAGCTGTCCTTTCTTCAGATGTTTGTTCACTTGTGCAGTTTGTCAATTTTGGAGTATTTTTTAAAAAAAACGAAAAAAATTTATTTAAAAAGCACTGTTGCTGTTACTCCAGGCGAGAATTTAAATTTTTAAAAAAATCTTTCTATGCAACTATTGTAATAAATATGCATTCAGGAATTAACCAAAAGTTAAACTCAGGCATTTTTGGGTGGGTCTTTGTTAGAATTTAATTCACCTGCAATTAGATTTTCAGGCTGATATTATTCATAACTTTGGATGTTTTGATGGGAAACTGTTACCAAAGAATTGCCTAATCATATGGAATTTTGTTGAAAGTTGTGGAAAATAATATACCTGTAAATACAGAAATTATAATTTTTGTAAACCTTTATCTAAAGTCCTGCTGAGATTAATTTAAAATATTATCCTGGGGGAATGCAAGGCATATTCTGAATGTTCGAAGAGAGTGGTTTGGATTGTTTTTAAAATGTGAAATTTTTCCTTCACACGAGTGTGTAATATTTGAGGGATAAAAGGCTTTTTTAAGGGAAGCAAAAAATGATTAATTACTTCAGATTTCTATCCACATTTGATATTTTTAAAAATAGTTAATTTCAGTCATCTTCATTGCCTCATTTTTAAATAATCTAGGTTTTACATGCCGCTTGACCACCCTATGCTGTTTTCCTTCAGCCCATGGGAGGGAGGGAAGGGTTTCTCAGTGGTAGGGTATAAGTCATGCGCTCCAATGCTGCTCCTGTCCAGGGCCCCTGACCCAAGTTCAGATCCCCTCTCGCCTTCCTGGGCCCTGGAGTTCCTTAGTCCAAGCCACAGTTGCCTGCTTGACCACTGCTGCTGTGACTCTCCTTGAGATGATGATCACAAGGCCTTTCTACCCCCCTCAGGGAAAGCTGGATACTCAGTGCTTCCAGTCCAGCCCTGATTTTGAACCTTCTGAGTGAATGTCTTTGACCAAGGGACTGCTTGACCCCAGTATTGCTCAGCATCACTCAAAGCCCATGCTTCTCAATATGATTTAGTACAGTGATAGTCATCAGTTAGGTCCCTTCACATCCCGAAGTTGCCAATCTATCCTGTAGTGAAGCAGCTCCATGACTAAGGGCAAATTTTGCCATTTAAAAACACAATCTGTATTACTGCAGTTTTTCCACAGGTTGTTCGTTTTTAAGAATATTGATCTTTGCTTAAACGCTTGTAACTTTTCTTTTTAAACTGTAGTGATTGTTTTGTTCCATTCTTGAACCCAACATGTAGCTCAAATCATAACATGCACATATCCAAAATTGTTACTACTTTGTCCCTTCAGAAGAAATGGAAAAACTTGCAAAATTCAATGTCTTCCAGATTATTGAAAAGATAATATAATGAAATCTCGGTAGTAATACTAAACCAGTGCCTCTAATTAATGCTTAAATTCTATAAATTTAGCAGGATATGTTATTACAGTGGGTCCAGATTCTAACTGTCTTTTACCTCCAGTATCAGTATTGCTGTCGTCTCACCGAATGTCATTGACTGTAATTCTATGTCCAGAATGGCATCCCTTTAAGAAGTCAGATTGAAAATAGGGTAAACCGTACTGAAATTGAAGATTCACAAACAATTATTTCCATTCCTTTAAAGTCCTTTTGAGGAATTGGTTTTAACACCCCTCAGCTCATTGGCAAATGGCTTTATTAGCAGCACTGAGCAGTCTGGTATATGGTGCAGAGAATGCATTAGTTCCTCCTGCACAGTACTGCAGTTTTGTTTGCGCTGAACTCCAGTGTCCGTTCGGATGCTACTTAAACTGACACTGTTTGTACTTTCTTGACTAAAGGTTCTCTGGTTTGGGAGGCTGAAATGGTGCCATTTCCACTGATCTATACTTGCAGATGCAAGCTATGTCAAGTGGTTGGTTTTGGAGAACTTCTGCATTGCAGACCAATGAGCACTGCTGTCCTGAAACTTTCTAAACAGTAACTTGTCTCCCTGCAGCTTCAGTGGTTCAGTTTGGTAGCACCACCATCTTGGAATCAGGAGGCTGCAGGTTCAAATCCCGCGCCAGAGACATGCACAAAAATCTAGGCTACACCCCCAGTGCAGCACTATCCCGTTCCCACTGTTTTAAAGAATCACAGAGGTCTTATCCATATGGACCCTGACCAAAATTTATCTCTCAACCAATTTCACAGAAAATTATTTGATTGTTTTAATTTTGCCAGAGCTTGCTGTGTGCAAATTGGGTGCTGCTTTTATGTACTGCAGTGGTGCACTTCAAATGTAGATCACTAGCTGTAAAGTGCTTTGGGATGACTTGAGGACAGAACAGGCACTTCAGAAATGCATGGCTGTCTTCCAATCAGGTCCGGTGGGACAAAAGACAGCATTGTATGTGTGTGGATCAAGTGGCTGCCTCATGAGGCACTTAAATAATGTCATATGAGAGTAGCTGGCACATAGACATGAGTGATTTCTTTGAGGGGGTGTGCAGATTTGTAAGGCTAATACCAAGCTCGTTGGCAGAGGCAGGTGTAAAATAAATTCTCCTTGGCCACCAATCTAAAATGTCTTGGCTGGCACTTTCTAGCCAAGACAAGCTCAAGTCTGGTGAAGGTCTGAGCAGCCAGAGTCAGAAAGACAGTATTTAAAATGCCTTAAACCCTATTAGGACACTTCCAAGATACAGAGCTGCTTCCTGCCAAAATGAAAAAAAAAATCTGATCCTTAATTTAGTTCACAATTCACTGTCACTTAATTCACAATCTGGGGACTGTGAAAGAACAAGTGTTTAGATGCTTGTTTCTTTCCCCTGGGTATTTTGAGACTGTTACAATGTAGTAGGCAACTGCTTTGCCTTGTAGCTGACAGTTTGAACTTAGAGTGTCCCAGGAGGAAATGTGCTCCTTTTCCCTCCATACCCTTGTTTCTCATCTTGACGGACCACAAATTTCTAACTTGGATTTAATTTGACATATGTTTGCTTGCACAGCAGGGTGTCTGTGGTGGCACCTTTTCACAGTTGCCTTTCCATCTGTGTACACTGCTTTTCACACTGTATTTGCTAAAGTCATCTAAGTCTTTTAATTTCAACATTTGTGCCATTTTTAGGATAACACCCATTGAGCATAAAGTAAAAAGTTACAGTTTTACGTGTAGTGGGAATTGGCTATAACCTGTAAACCTGCCTCTGTTAATTTGTGTCTGACTTACTGCATTGGATTGAAGTTTAACAGCCTCCTATGCTGAAGGAACAAGGTCAGAATTCCTAATAAGTATTCGGGTTTGATGACGATTACCACATTTTTCTAGTTATTGAAAGCTGTAAAATCAGGCAACAATGGGCCTGAAGAAGGATGGATTCCCAGATTTCATGGGGTTATTTTCCTCAGTGGAAAACCATTTGCCAAATCTATCCTCATCGAGGTTACCTAACGATGAAACAATGTAAATCCGGTTTCTTAAAAATGTGCAATTTCCTCCCTTGAGCCTAAGCACATTCACAACTCAAGCTAAGAGAGGGACTTGGTGAAAAAGCTTTTTTCTTTAGAAAGCCAGAAAAATGTTGAGGTAAATTCATGCAACTTTTCATTGGATTGCACCTATCATCCATCTGGACTTACACATGTGCTCACTGGTTCAAGAATCTGTTCACAGGATCAAAAATTGTCTTGTTACCCTCCTGGCCAGTGTAGTTATCTATGGTTGTAATCATACAGGGATGGTGTGTTTCTATACTTTTTAACCATCTCAATCTTATTGGGACACTGTATCTGCGCCATTTACTAAGAGGAGTCAATGTATCTGTCCAATTCTGGCAGTTAAATGGAATGAGGGACATATTGAGCTAATTTTATTTTGCAACACTTTCATCTAGGTGAAGGAAAGCAGGCAAAGAAAATCCGATGTTCCTTGGACCCATTTAGGAATGATTCAGCTAATACTGCAACAAACCGTTGAAAATCCACAACACTTAGATTTGCAAGCACTTTTAACCCACAATCTCTGACCAGGTTTGAATTAATCCTGTCAATAACACAGCTACCTTGAATAAGCCAACCACTTTCTTGCCTCAAAATTCATTCGGCATTTGTGATAAACGTGACTGTCTACCCTTAGCCTGAATTTTTCCATGTTGTTCTGAAGGGATTACAACGTCATTAGGACCTGATTTTAATGTCTAATTATGTTTGTTAAAAGATGTCCAATAGAATTATTTTGTGAACCCATCCTAATAGTTTGTGATAAGTTCTAGCAGCAGTGATAGGCCATTCCGCCTATCAAGTCTGCTTCGCTATTCAGATTTGATAATCCTCAACTCCACTTTCTACTTTTACCCATTACCCTTTGACTCTCTTCTGACTTTCTCAGCCATGAATTATATTTAATGACCCAGTCTCCACAGCTTTCTGTAGTCAAGGATTCCACAAGTTCACTACCCTCTGAGAGAAGAAATTCCTTATCTCTGTCTTAGCTTGATGACTTCTTACTCTGAGGATTTGCCTTCTGGTTGTAGACTCTCCCACGATGGAAAATAAACCACTCTGTATTTAACCTGCCAAGCCCTCTAAGAATCTTATTTGTTTCGATAAGGTTTCATTCATTCTTCTAAACTCCAGTGATTATACATTGTAAGTCAGTCCATGCAAATCTCATTGTTTACTACTTCTAGTTGCAACTGGGGAGGGAAAATAAATCCCGGATAGTTCTATCAAGACATTTAGGCACCTAGAGCAAAAACAAACATGGCAGAAAAATTATTTAACTTGCAATTTCAATATTAAATGTGGCAGTTTATAAACTATAAGGAAACTAGTTACAAAGGTTTATCTTTAAGTTCTAACTGCATGCACTGAGACACAGGAAATAACATGGCCAACACGTACAATCTCAAAAGAAGGCTCCTACCTCTGTTCAGATAATTGACTTCAGGTTATGGCAGGATATACTACTGGGTCTGTGAGCAGTGTTGTGTATACTAACAGGGATTGGCAAGGATTAATTTGTAAATTTAATTTATGTATGACCTCCATGTGCTTTAAAGTATTGAGTGTGAAAAGTTTGTGTATGCTTGTGTACTGACTTTTAATATCTAATGGACAAGAAAGAAATTACAATTCCTTTTGTCACATCATTTTGTTTTGTATATCTGATGAAGACACTTGATTGGCATGAGCAAATAAAGCCATTTGCGTTCCCTTAACGCTGGCCTCTTTTCTGTCTATGATCTCTGTTAAATCTCTTGATAAAATTACTGCTATTAACTAGTACATATGAGCTTTTTTTTAAAATGGAACCTATTATAGTAATTGGGATGTAGGGTTGAATGTTCCCGCAGTACTTTAATTAGAGAGCAAAGAGAATTGAGTCTTAACACAGCAGTGATTGTCCCTTTAAAAAAAATCCTCTTGTTTTGGTATTTCAACTGAGATACCAGATTAAAATAAGATGGTTAATGCCTTCATTAGAAATGCCCACAAAGGATTGTTTTGGAAGAACATATGCTATCCTGTATAAATTGAAATAGATGAATCTCCAAAACTCGATGCCTTCCATCCCAGTCTATTAAAAGAAATTGATGCGGAAATTACAGATGCATTAGTCATAACTTTCCAAAGCACTCTTGATTCAGAAATGGGGCTGTTTGAATTGGAGATTACAAATGTTACTCCTGTTATTTAAGAATGGTAGAAGGAGAAATTTGGTAACTGCAAACCTGTTAATTTAATGTCAGATGTGGGTAAGTTACTGGAATCTATCATTGGAGACTTGAGCAAGTAATATGATCAAAGAGAGTCACCACGGGTTGTCAAATCATGCTGAAATTGTCCTAGGCAATTACCAGTGTCAGTGGGTGCTGGCTAAATGGATATCCAAAAGGCATTTGATCAAGATTCACACAGAAGATTGTTAGCGGAAGTGACAGCACTTGGAATTAGTGGTAACATTAGTGATTTAAGTCAGTGGTTGACTCAACGGTAAAGGACAGGGAGAAAGAGTTTGTTCTGAATGTCGTAAGTGTTTATCCACAGGGAATTATTACTGGGTGTCACATTTAGACCCTATATATTGACTCGGATAAGGCACAGAGTTTTATCTCCAAATTTGTAGATGGCACTAAGTTAAGAACTTCAGTGGGGTAGGTACGTGAGAGCAGGTAGTCAGTGAGGAGCCTAGACAAACTGAGTGTGTGACACTTGGATAGATGGAGCTCAATGTGGAGAAGGGTGTTGCCTTGCAATTTGTCTCTGAGAAAGATATTAGAATATTTCAATGGCGCGACACTAGAAAATTGAGAAACATGATTGAACTGTTTAGGAGCAAAGTACTACAGTTGCTGGAAAACAACAAATGCTGGAGATCACAGTGGGCCAGGCAGCATCCATGGTGATACAGCAAATTAACGTTTCGAGTCTAGGTGACTCTTCATCAGAGCTGATGTGAAGTGTGGAGGGGACAGCATTTGTGTTGGGGAGGATGGAGTGTTGGGGGAGAAATGATGTTGATAGAGTAGATTAAGTGATCAGAATTTGAGAATGCTAGAACAATGGTGTGTCTAACTGCCAAAGTGGAAACAACAGACAATCCCACTGGGAGAGGGGAGAGAGGACATGGTGATAGAGAATGTAATGAGTGAAGCTTAAAAGAAAGGGAAGGAATGGGGGTGGGTTTTTACAATTTGAAGGTGTTGAACTCAATATTAAGTCCTCCTTATTCTCAAGATGTGGGTCACATTGCCCATTGCTAATATCTTAGAGTCAACCACATTGCTGTGGATCTGGAGTCACGTAGACCAGACCAGTTAAGCACCGCAGTTTCCTTTGCTACAGGAGATTAATGTCCCTGTTTCTCCTCCCGTGCATATCATTCACTAAACGCTGTGCACAGATACTTGAAGGAATTTAGAAAGCCAAATATTATGATGGCCTTGGTCTCAAGCATATTAGAATTCAGAAGTGTTGAAGTGATGCTTCAGTTATACTATCACCCTCATTCAGTCAGGATATTGGCTTCGGATCAGGGCACAAAATGTCAGGAAAGATTTTTTGGCCTTGGGATGTATGCATTGCTAATTCACCAGAATAGTACTAGGTCTTAAAGGGTTAAGTTAGGAGGAGGAGCTGCATTAACTTGGTCCATATTCCTTGGAGTGTGGAAGTTTGATCTGTTGGAAATGTTTAAAATTATTTTTGGGATTTGTTTGAGGAAATACAGAGATGTGATTTCCTCTGAGGAATCGTAGCACAGCAAAAGAACTGAACCACTCGGGAGAAAAGTCGGGAAGTACATGTTCATACAAAAGGATTCACAAGTATGGAATCCACTCCTCCAAAAGCTGTCAAACTTGGGTCAATAAGTGTTTGAGGGGACAAAGTATTGAGGTGCGAATCAACCATGACCATATGGAATGGCAGGATAAGCTGCGAGGGCGAATGGATTCCCCTACTTCCTCTGTACATTTTTATTTAAAGAAGCATATTCCAATGCACTGCAATGCAATTTTAGTCTGTAGGACATAGGAACAGACGTAGGCCATTCAGGCCATCAAGTTTGCTCTACCATTCACTGAGGGTGTGATTGATCTAATAATCCTCAACTTTACTATCGAAAAAAATTCCACCGGTTTATGCCACACCCCCAGCCCGAGAAGAAATTCTTCCTTCTCTCTTTTAAATGGATAACCTCTTATCCCAAGATTATGTCTTCTGGTCGTGCATTCTCCCACAAGGTGAAACAACCTCAGCATCAAGCCCTGTAAGAATTCTGTATGTTGCAATAAGGTCTTATCCCACTCTTCTAAACTCCAATTTGTACGGGCCCACAGTACTCAACCTCTCCTCAAAAGACAGTCCCTCCTCACTCGGCTGATGCTATCCACGCATTCTGTGGATTGACTCTAATGCCAGTTTCCTTAGACAATGGGCCAAAACTGCACACGGCACTCCAGCTGTGGCCTGAATAATATATACAGCTAAGCCATTAGTCACATTTGGTGAGACTATCCAGAGAATCCGATGAATGAAGGGACCAACAAAACCAGCAGCGGGATGTTTGCAGGCATCAAGGCCTGTGACCTCCCTCTCAGAAGGGACCATGTTCTGTCATGTGCTGGCTGCTAGGTGCAGGTCTCGGGAGTCCCATTTTTCAGCCTGCTTCTCGATCCCTAGACTGTGATTAATCTCGGCACACGAGCAAGCTAATTGAACTCTAGCTTGAGTGTTTCCACATGGAGAGCAGGCAAGAAATGTGGGCCCAGGTGGAGAACAGGATTATTTCTCTAGTGCTGCCTGCATATTGCAGCAGGCCTCCAGCCAAGAGGGTCCGTAGGTGAATTCCTGCTGCTTTCAAACACGGCTATAACCCACTCTCTGATTATCCCTTCAACTTTTCAGATTGGCAAATGCTCAAAAGTTCATAAATCAAGGTGAATAGAATGGAGCTAAACTAGGCTGTTCACTCGTGAATAAATAACCAGGTGCCATTCTTAAAGATGATTTTGATTTAAGACTCCATTTTGTTCATTCTACACCAAGCAATTTGGACACCACTCTAAACTGGATGAATGGTGTCCCGGTGAATGATTAACTTGCGAACGTAAAAACGAAAGGAATAATGAGGCCAACTTCAAATTGCTGGCTTCTTGTCCAGTTGGGGTTGCCAACATCAATTGGACATTTTCAAGGAGGTGTTGTCGCATGAGCTTGCAACTGCAAACGCACTGTCCCCAACCTCACATCATTAGTCTCCTATCACAGCCCACAGCCTATTGGAAAGCAAACAAACTTGCATTTAGCTAATTGGATGGGGCTCCTGTGGCACAGTGATACTATCTCTACCTCTGAGCCAGAAGGCCTGGGTTTGAGTACCATCCTGCTCCAGAGGTGTGTAATACCATCTCAGAATAGGCTGATATGAAACTATCAAATTTGGCATTCTTGAATTTGTCCTGATGAGGACAAAATGAAAAACAACGTGTTTCTCTTTTTGACAATATACTGTCTGATTCGATGTTTGTAGGTCGGATGTTCTTCTCTCCTCTGAGCCAATATCTTGATAACTAATAAACAGGAACGTGAAGGCTAATCAAAATATTGAACATATTTTAACGTTATGGTGAGTTGAATCACAGATATCGCTCTCGTAGATCAGCTGGCGGTTAATCTGCGATTCCTGGAGATTTGGCAATATGATTCCCAATCCAAACTCTCAAGTCTTTTTCATCCTTGCTCAACTATTCAGGTTGGATTCAAGAGATGTTATTGTTGGAGTCATAAAGTCATAGAGTTGTACAGCACAGAAACAGATCCTTCGGTCCAACTCGTCCACGCCGACCAGATATCTTAAGTTACTCTAGTCCCATTTGCCAGCATTTGGCCCATGTCCCTCTAAACCCTTCCTATTCATGTACCCATCCAGATGTCTTTTAAATGTTGTAATTGTACCAGCCTCCACCACTTCCTCTGGCAGCTCATTCCATACGCACACCAGTTTCTGCGTGAAAACGTTATGCCTTAGGTACCTTTTAAATCTTTCCCCTCTCACCTTAAGCCTATGCTGTCTAGTTTTGGACTCCCCTGCCCTGGGAAAAGACCAATTCTACTTATCTTATCCACGCCCCTTTTGATTTTACAAACCTCAGTAAGGTCACCCCCTCAGCCTCTGACACTCCATGGAAAATAGTCTCAGTCTACTCAGTCTATTCAGCCTCTCCCTATAGCTCAAACCCTCCAACCCTAGGGCAACATCCTTGTAAAAGTTTTCTGAATTCTTTCAAGTTTCACAACATCCTCCCTATAGCCAGGAGACCAGAATTGCATGCAGTGTTCCAATGTCCTGTACAGCTGCAACAAGACCTCCCAACTCCTATACTCAGTGCACTGACCAATAAAGGCAACCATAACAAACACTTTCTTCACTATCCTATCTGTCTACAACTCCACTTTCAAGGAACAATGAACCTGTACTCCAAGGTCTCTTTGTTCAGCAACACTCCCCAGGACCTTCCCATTAAGTATATAAGTCCTGTCCTGATTTGCCTTTCCAAAATGCAGCAACTCACATTTATCTAAATTAAACTCCATCTGCTACTCAGCCCATTGGCCCATCTGATCAAGATCACATTTTACTCTGAGGTAACCTTCTTCGCTGTCCACTACACCTCCAATTTTGGTGTCATCTACAAACTTACTAACCATACCTCCT